TTTTCTTCTTCTCTGACTCAAGAAAAGTTTAATTTGGAATCAGATTTAAATGTTTAAACCAGAAACTTGCTGTTATATTTATGGCCACAAGGTGGCAGTGATGCAGTTTTATGTTCTACATGTTTTAACATAACAGATTCAAAAACAGATTATAAGGAGCATCAGAGAAATTAACTGAACAAAGTTCAGGAGTTTCTATCTGATAAATCTAAAAGTTAGATTGTAGTTGTTCCTCATACTGACTGATGTTGTTCCTGATGTCCTGCTGCCTCTCCTCCTCCTCTTCCTCTCTCAGGATGAAGATGATCTCCCTGCTGCTCCTCATCCTCAGCTCATGTCTCTGTGGTCAGTCTCCATCTTGTCTTTGTGACAGAAAGCTCTCTAGATGGAGCTGAAAGACTCCCATGTTCCAGTTCTCAGTGTGTCTGCTCCTCTCTTTCCCTCTCTGTCTCCTCAGCAGCAACATTTGTAGTGAATGTGACCCAGAGCAGCTATGAGGCAGAGGAGAACCACAGCATCACTCTGGAGTGGACCTTCACCACCAGGACTCAGGGAAACTGGAGGGAACTGTTCATTGTCTGCAGCTTGTTGGCGCATCGTAAAGGACTGGTTCTCTATCAGAGCCATGATGGAGTTGAGTTTCCAGATTCTCAGCATGATCAGTTTTCAGGACGAGTCCAGAGTGACAAAGACGTCCTCAGAGAAGGACGAATCAGACTCCATGTGTCCAGACTGAGGACTGAAGACTCTGGTCTGTATCTGTGTGACGTGAAAACTGAAGATGGATTCAACTCTGGAAGATGTCGACTCAACGTTACTGGTGAGAAGAAATAATATAAAAACATTTTATCTGATAGTTAAATGAACCATCATCATCATCAGTTGGTCCTTATTAGAGAGGAAATCAATAGTTTTGCCTCCTAAATTTCATTACATATTTTTTTATTCATGTTTATCTAATATTGTTAGATATTCAGATTTATCTGACCACTAAAGAAGGTCAGTAAAATTAATTTTTTAATCATATGTTGCACAGCAAACATCCAATACATTGTTGGCACAAACCAACAATAAACCCAGGAATCACAAACATTTCATAAGACGCCATAAACACCTGAAAATTAAATAAATGGCTCAATGGCATTTCAGCTGAATTGTTCTGGACCCTTAAAACTTTTAACTGCAAAACTAATCAGTAGTTCTTTGTCAATATTTTACATAGTTTTATGAACAAAATTATCAAAAATAACCAAATTCCACTATGGAGTTCTGTTCTGCGGACACAGAAATAGGATAATAGACAAAACCAAACCGAGAAACAAATCCTGGCAGTTTAATTAACAATCCTCCTCAAAAGAATCCAAACAACTGAATATCAATCACCTCATCGCTGAATTTGGGAACTTCATCAAGTTTTCATTGAGTTTTGGAACGAGCTCTGAGACACCCACACTTTGAAAATCCCACATGAATCCTCCTGGATCTCAGTTTTCATTAATATTAATAAATATTTCTGGTTTCTCTCCAGCAGCTGCTGATCAGATCCAAACTCAGAGACCGACTTTGACTCCAGAACCAGATGAGCTAGAATGGATCATCATCATCATCTTTATGGGTCTGATAATAGCAGCAGCTCTGACGCCTCTTCTTCTTTGTTATTTACTAGTGAAATATTGTCTGGCAAGAGAAAAAGACTTTTATTTGACTCATGATGAAAAGACCAAAGAAAGAGAGTGGACGCTTTATGGGAAGAAACATTTTGATCAAAACATACAGGATGTAGAAAAATCTCCAGAACCCTGGAACCAGAACCAGAACCAGAACCAGAACCTGGAACCAGAACCCTGATCTGAGCTGCTTTCAGCTGCAGCAGCTGATGAACCAGTGAAGCTCTGGTTCTGCTCCACTGGTTCTGGTTCTGATGGTTCTGCTGAAATAAATCCAGATTTCTTCCCTCATGTTGTCAGAACCTGATTCACTGCAGAACCTTTTAACATCAACATGAGCTGCAGCTGTTTGGACTCAGCAGAACCAATCCAGCTGCTGGATCTGACCTCAGACCAGTTCTACCATCAGGGTTATACTGGAGCGCCACCTGGTGGTGGAGTTAGGAACTGAGAGCTCATAGAGCTGAAGGTCTGAGTGACGGACTGACTGGATCAGTTCAGATTCATTTGTTCTGGTTTTATGTTTTTACCACCAGAATCTCTTCAATTCTTTGTTAAAGTTTTATCATCAATGTTAGTCTTAGATATAATTAATCAGTTTGTTTTATTGACATGTTGATCATGTTACAACATGATGGACAAAAACAAAAGTAAACCCCACATTAGTTTAGTTTACATCAAATAGCGACTAAATCAACTTATTTATAGAAAACGATGAAGAGGAGCTGCTTCTCCAATACCAGCAGAAATGTTGGATCAATTAAATATCTGGAGATCAATCAGCTGATCAACATTTTTACTGGGAAATGTTGATATTTTATACAATTTCTGTTAATAAAAATAATCAAATTATTGATTCTGTTTTTCTTTTCTTTTCAATATTAACATTAAAACACAAGCTTTTATAATTATA